TTAATAGCAGGTGAGAAGATCCCCAGCTCGAGGGGTCCAATGAGAACTTAAGTATGCATGACCGGAAAGACTCGGGAGAGACTTGAAGTACTAGCCTTAGGGATGCATGAATACCTGTGCAAGAGACACTGTAAATGTCTTTATGAGAGGGAAGGTGAAGATTAGAGAGTGGAAGGATAGAATGGAAGGTACTTCACATCACAAGAAAAGACCCTCTTCCAGGGTCCTGGAACTCGATATCTCGAAGCAAGCACGGCGTTGGTAGGGGGCAAAACCGCTTTACAAGGGTCATTTTTGCTGGTTATGACCGGAAGGTTTGTGTCTCTTGATAGCAATGGCCGCAGCAGAACGGCAGATTGACACTCGGATCTGGATTCGGGTCTTTTTCATATCAAATAATAGGCACGATACTTGGAAGTTGGTGCTGAACGCTGAGGAGTAATTGCATTAGTGCTTGGTAAGATGGTTCGATCGGTAGGCTGTGGCCACGACCCTGGATTCAAGGGCCTGACGACTCGTTGTCAGTGTCTCTGCAATGTTTCCATTGGCACAGTAGTAGCGATGCGAGCTGTTTTCAACTTGTTCCTGACTAGCAGGCGCTCAAACCTGTCATTGATTAGTGATACGAGGACATCCGTCTTGTTGCTGTACGGAATGCAAACTATCATTTATCAGATCTCAGGCCAATGCGAGTCTGGAGTTTTGGCAAGTTTTGGCACCCTCCCTTCACGTAGATTCTACTAGGCATAACAAGTTTTCCTCACTGACGTGGGAGAAGAGGGACCACAATGGTCTATGACATACCAATAAAGAGTCCCTCGCCGAGGTACAGGCTTTGCTGACTGTTCTACGTGGACATCTCGATCTGAAGGTTCAAGGCACACATTCCGCCTGGGACCATGTTTCTCATGGGACTGAAATACAGAATGGCTCGAACATTCAGTGTCTGATGAGTGGCGGGCGACGTCTGCTTTCAGCCAAATCGCCTGAATTTGTAGATGCCCACAACAACCAACGAGCACACGGCAACTATTAGCACAGACAACAGTATCAGCCCGACTCAGGTCACAACGGAGGAATCGACTGCATGTCACCTCTCGGATTTACTCAGGAGTGATTAATCTGGAGCTTAGCATAGAAGCATCAGCTTCACCCAGGGTGGCTCTGAGCCGTTATGAAAGACCAGCCTATTGGGAATGGTGACGAGTATGCTCTGCTACATATATTGATACATTGCGTCCCTTGAGATGAATCCGTCAGTTATTCTCCATGGTCGAGAAACCAACATCTACGCTTGCCCTCATGCGATCGCCATAACGAATTGTGAAGGAAACGATGCTATGACAGAAATTTGAAGGGGTGCAATGTCAGCATCACCAGTCCTGCAGTCAAGAAGATTCTTACCATTGTCCAATGACCGCAAGGACAGCTGCGATGATGTCCGTCCACGCAACACCCATGCGCTCGATCGATGGAATAATAAGAGCAGTGGCAGCAGACGTAATGAGTGACCGACTCGCCCTGACAGGTGAATGAACGTGTTTAGGTTAGATAGTCACATAATATCACGGAGACTAACATGCAAGCAGCTGTGGCCTCTGCGCTTCGAGAATGCATTACGTCCACATTATAAGCGGTAACGGGATTCAACACTAAGTCAACCTATGAAATCAATGAATTGCTGTACGCACGGAATGAAGGTTCTAGCTAGTAGGACTTACCCCCACTCCATTCGCATAAAGGCATAATATATTCAGCGCAAGGCCGATCGGGCCTCCAATATACGTTGTGATCAGCCCTGACGCCCCAACAGACAATGGGACAATGAGCCCTCCGATCCACGCTGCTCTCAAGCGGTCTTCGGGACACCACACTCCTCCGCGCTTCTCCCGCCATCTTCTTACTACAGTGTCTGATAGGCGGCCAGCGATCAAAGCTCCGACTGTTAAAGATTATGTTGGCGCACTGCGAGTACAATGCTCTACACATACCAAAGCTTCCCAGGCCGTTTGGGAGGAAAAACGCGCCAATGATGGCCTCGTTCGTGATTCCATACCGGACGCCCTACACTGCGATCAGGATGCGAGATAGAAGACGATTGTTAGCTTACAATAGTATACGCTAGCGGTACGAGAAGAACTACATTTTTTTGTGAGATTGCACTGCACGATTGGTAACAAATAACAACATACCATAGTTAGTGTTGGTTATTAAAGTCGACACAAGCATCTACATTTCATACAACATTAAGACTTTGTACTAGCGCATGGTATATGCACTCACAACCGCAGATACGTTCGGACTTCGAAGCAGCCAAAGACTACTGAGAGGATTTATCCATGCGATATGGATCGATCCCCTGGAGGACAGTTTATCGATGCCCAATGTGCCGGGATGGCTCGTCTCAGGAAACGAAAGGTATATGAACAGCATCTCGAGTGATCCCCATGCAGCAATGGAATAATGCAAATTACGCCATGACCAATACTGTGTCGCCGCACCTGTTCAAATGTGTTGCTAGAGTCAGCGGCTATAAAGATGCAGAATGCATTTACCTCCAAGAAACGGGGCAACAGAGTCCCCGATAAGTGTAATCTGAGAGAGCAGTGTCAGTACCAAACCAAAAAAAAACATTCAATCACCATGATCCCTCACACTAAAGAATGTCCCGATAGCAGTCCCCCTCTCCTCCAATTCATAAATGTGACCAATTACGCCAAAACCTAACGACAACGCCCCAGCGCATCCAAACATCTGCACGAATCTCCAGAATAACAGACTCTGCAACGAAGCCGACAGCGCAACTCCACAACTCCCAACGCATAAAAACGGCATTCCCCACAGGTATATTGCTCGGCATCCGTCTGTAGGACTGTTGTTAGAACTCAAAAGCTACCAAGAGTACAAAACACGCCGTGGATGTACGCACAGAAAGACGAATAAGCAGACCAAATCAACGCCCCAATAGCATTAGCAAAGATCGATATGCTAAAAGCCAAGCTGGGAAATAGCTCGATCACTGCACGTCGGATGAGCATACAACACACACCTGACGACAGCATCCGTTAAGTCGAGGTCTTTAGCTATCCGAGGGATCGAAGGCACGAACGTCACTTGGACGAACACTGACCAATGTTCATCAGTATCACGCCTCTGGGTCAACAGACGCTTAAACTCGCAGTACTCACTAGCCAACAAACCCACAAAGGACACATGAAACAGAATCCACCTCTTTTGATGTGGCGCGAATCTGTTATAGATAGCTTCATGGGCGGCGGGCACCAGCAAAGGACATTCTTCTGAAGCCATTGTGAATCATGAGCTGACTCCCTGAGAAGGATGAGTTGCCTACCTGCCGACAAGATACATCAATGCATCACGAGTCAAGACCTGTCAAGACTGTAACCAATATAGATGTAAGTTGCAAGTTACTAATCGATTACTAATCAATGCACGTGTTCAAGCGAGTACCATTCTGGCATTAGGCTAGACGTACTCTAACCGTAAAACATCATCAGCACAAGACCTCGATATGCAAAGAGAGAGAGACAAATGGGGAGGGGGAAGCAAAAGTTTTCTAGCTCTCCAACTCCAACACCCTCTCCTTCGCGCCCTGTCTCTCCTTCTTAGACTTCTCTTCGACCTTCAATCTCACCTCCCATTCCTGACCAGTCGTAGTCGTCCTTGAACCACTGGTATCAAGAATTTCTCAGAGAGAATGGTTTTAGTTTTGTGGGAATCCCCTTAGATAAGTAGGTCGGTCGTAAAATCGCCGGCAGTTTGACATAACATTGACTATGGAGGGCTGCGTGGGTAACCCTATCCTGAGGCCTGAGCAACGAGTCCACATCACCGGTCTCGAGATTTTTCTGCGGTCTCTCTGAGAGACCTAGGTTCGCTTAAGTCTAGGTGTTAAACGGTGAGTGGTTGTACTTCAGCAGCAGTTTATAAATCAGATCTTCACGATCATGATACGTGAGTCATACTTCTCAGCCGACATCTTCGCACTCACGTGAAAGTTCATCCTCAAGACCATCGGCATCTCGTCCCCGACCTCTAGCAGCAAGAAAAATTGTACTGTCTTGTGTACCATGCGTCTTCCCGAGTTATTTGGACCATTATTCCCACCCAATGCGCGTTTTGGACACCTTCGAGTTGCCTTGGTGTTGAGAGAGGACGGACTGCATGCGTGAGTTGATTGTAAATTAATTTGCAAGTGCACGTTGTGCGCGTCCAAAATCAGATCCGTATGTCTCTATTACAATGTATCGCGAATTACATGACTTGTTATGGTGGACGATAGGTTATCAATTTATGGTTCGATTTACCGCGACTTATCCGAAAGTCTCAGCAATGTTTATTCTAGTATGCACCCGACACAGACCTTGACTCATCCTGGTTGCGAGACTGACCTGCTACATAGATCCATGTCGTCAGCTTGTCGCTTGGTGCGAGTTGCCGTGGCTAATGTAGATAAATACAATTGGATTCTCCAGACCTACTCTTTGAAATACATTCTTCCCAACGAGTTACGAGTCCTTCAGAGAGTGCAAGGTGTTCTATATCTACCAGCGCCTTCGTTCTGTGTTCGAGATGGTATGATATTATTGGTCTCAAAGAGTGCTAACTCTGTACGCGCCCACAGTATCCAACGAGCATACAGAAACTATTAGCACAGATCACGGTATCAATCCGACTCGCGCCACAACAGAGGAAACGACCGCATATCACCTCACCTCTCGGAATCACTGACCAGTGATTAATATGGAGCATCGTAGGATTTCAGTTCATGATTTGCCGCAAGCTGTTACATATACCTGTCAGCACGAAGTTGCAGGTGTAATTGAGCGCCGAGTAGTTGCCAACTTGTTTCTTAGTCAACTTTACTCCAGGTGGCTCTGAGTCGTTACGAAAGACCAGCCTATTGGCAATGGTGACGAGTATATTCTGCTACATATATTGATACAATGCTTCCCTTCAGATAAACGAAGATGAATCCGTCAGTTATTCTCCAGTGTCGAGAAACCAACATCTATGCTCGCCCTCATGCGATCGCCATAGCGAATTGTCAAGGAAAGGATCCTACGACAGAAAATTTGAAGCAGTGCAATATCAGCATCACCAATTTTACAGTCAAAAAGACCCTTACCATTGTCCAATGACTGCAAAGACAGCCGCGATGATGTCCGTCCACGCAACACCCATGCGCTCGATCGATGGAACAATAACAGCAGTGGCAGCAGACATAATGAGCGACCGACTCGCCCTGATAGGTAAATGAACGTGTTCAGGTTTGATGGTCACGCAATATCATGGAGACTAACATGCAAGCAGCTGTGGCCTCTGCGCTTCGAGAATGCATTACGTCCACATTATAAGTGTTGATAGGATTCAACACTAAGTCGACCTATGAAATCAATGAATTGCTTTATGCACGGAATGAAGTTCTAGCTGGCAGGGCTTACCCCCACTCCATTCGCATAGAGGCATAATATATTCAGCCCAAGGCCGATTGGGCCCCCAATATACGTCGTAATCAGCCCTGACGCCCCGATAGACAATGGAACGATAAACCCTCCGATCCACGCTGCTCTTAAGCGGTCTTCGGGACACCACGCTCCTCCGCGCTTCTCCCGCCATCTTCTTACTACAGTGTCTGATAGGCGGCCAGCGATCAGAGCTCCGGCTGTCAAAGATTGTGTTGGTGCATTGCGATCACAATGCTCTGCACATACTGAAGCTTCCCAGTCCGTTTGGGAGGAAAAACGCGCCGATGATGGCCTCGTTCGTGATTCCATACCGGACGCCCTACACTGCGATCAGGATGCGAGATGGAAGACAATTGCCAGCTTACAATAGTATACGCTAGCGGTACGAGGAGAACTACACTTTTTGTGAGATTGCACTGCACGATTGGTAACAAGTAACAACCCACTATAGTTAGTATTGGTTATTATAGTTGACACGAGCATCTATATCTCACATAAAATGAAGACTTTGTACTAGCGCATGGTAAATGCACTCACAACCGCGAACAGGTTCGGACTGCGAAGCAACCAAAGACTGCTCAGAGGATTAATCCATGCGATATGCATCGATCTTCTGGATGGCAGTTTATCGATGCCCAATGTGCCGGGATGGGTCGTCTCAGGAAACGAGAGGTATATGAAAAGCATCTCGAGTAATCCCCATGCGCCAATGGAATAATGCAAATTGCGCCAGGACCAATACTGTGTTGCCGCACCTGTTTAAATTTGCTAGAGCCAGCGGCCACAAACATGCAGAATGCGTTTACCTCCAACAAACGGGGCAACAGCGTACCCGATGATTGTGACCTGAGATAGTAGTGTCAGTACCAAACTAGAGGAACCATTCAATCATAAACGATCCCTCACACTAACGAATGCCCCGATAGCAGTTCCTCTCTCCTCCAATTTATAGATGTCACCAATTACCCCAGCCCCCAACGACAACGCCCCAGAGCATCCAAACATCTGGACGAATCGCCAAAATAACAGACTCTGCAACGAAGCGGACAGGGCGACACCACAGCTCCCAACACATAGAAACGGCATTCCCCAGAGATATATCGGTCGGCGACCATCTGAAAGACTGGGGTTGAACTCGAAAACTACCACGAGTACAAAGACAAGGGGCCGCAGTGGATGCACGTACAGAAAGACGAATAAGTAGACCAAATCAACTCTCCAATGGCATTAGCAAAGATCGATAGGCTGAAAGCCAAGCTGGGAAAACAGGTTGATCGCTGCTGCATATCATATGTGCATATCACACACACCTGACGACAGCATCCGTTACGTTGAGATCTTTAGCTATCTGAGGGATGGAAGGCACGAACGTCACTTGGACGAACACTAACCAATGTTCGTAAGTATCACGTCGACAGTATACCGTGACCTTAACTGCCAGTACTCACTAGCCAACAAACCCACAAAGGACACGTGAAACAGAATCCACCTCTTTTGATGTGGCACGAATCTGTCATAGATAGATTCATGCGCGGTGGGCTCCAGCATAGGGCTTTCTTCTGAGTCTGAAGCCATCGTGAATCGTGTGCTTGAAGTCTCGTGGATAGCGCGGAAGATATTAATATCAGCAACGTACCTCGATCGTGCAAGGTCCGATTGATCGCTAGTAAGTGACCAAAATAAGTTCTACTTCCCCTACGGAATTTCCCGATCAATACGCTCGTTGAGTATCCTGAGTATGTTACGAAGTTCGCAGACAACTACGTGATTAATGGTGATCCAGCAGCAATTCACCGTCATCATGCACACTTTTAAACTATGCGAGTCAACGATCATTGTCCCAGAGCAAAAAAAGGAAAGAAAAATACATGAGATGTATGTTACTAATTAATACAAAATTGCGACGTCAAGAACCGAACGAAAGCAAGAGCACACCTTCGCTATAAAACACCCATAAGGGTGAACATCGTAGACACGGCAAACAGCAAGGAGGGTATCATCACCGTGGCCGCGAGGGACCTTTATTTGCCTCTGCCACATTGTCCAGTTGCGCACTCCGTTTTTGAGCGAGTTCGTTCTGGCGTTCTAGACTCCTGCCATGCCAAATCGTCAGCACAAGACCTTGGACATGCAAGGAGGAAAAGAGGAAAGGTAGAGGAGGAAAAAACACAAACCTCATCTGATTTTCCAACTCCAACACCCTCTCCTTCGCCCCTTGCCTCTCCCTTTTATACTTCTCCTCCCCCGCTTTCAGCCTTGTCTCATACTCCTTCACCCTCGCCTCCCACTTCTGATCAGCCGTAGTCGTCTTTTGGTTTATGTTCGAAATCTTCTCTTCGCTTAGGAGGAGCTGGTTTTGAACCACCACTAGGCGTTTCTCAGCATTTACTGCGCGGGAAAGGAGCGTCTTTGTTTCTTGGGAGTCGCCTTGGGTTGGTCGTCGAGACGTCACTAGTTGTGAGGTTAATTCTGCGTTGGTGGCCTTCGTAGATGAGAGTAAGAGTATCAATCAAAGTCAACGTAAAATCAAAAACGCTCATAAAAATACCCACCTTCAACCCCTCAATCTCCCCTTCCTTTGCAGTGAACTTCCGTCTCCATGTAGACTTTGCCTCACCATACGCCTTTACGCTCGACTCAAACTTATCGATCTGTTTCCACCGCACATCAAGTTGCCTCCGCATCTCAGCAAGCTTGTCAGTGAATTTCCCTTCTGCATCTTTGACGCGCTTTTCAAAGTCGAGTTGGATCTGGGATAGAGCTTTGAGTCGTGTGATGAGGTTGTCGTGGAAAACACTGAAATTAGTGAAGGGCTTCGTTTCTGCTTGATTGCCTTTCTTCTGCGAAATAACATGTTTTTGTGAGTGACGCGTGTTAGAGTAACGGAAGAACTTACGGGAGTCTTATCCACCCCGAGAATCTTATCCATGTATTGATATATCGTAAGCAGCAATGTATTTCGCTCCGTAAGCTGATCACGATATTGATTCTCAGCACTCAATAACGTCCGCTGGTCTTTAGACAAACGCGTCTCCAGCTCATTCACTCTCGTCCTATACCCAAACGACTCTGCCTCAGCCGTCTTGAGACTGCTTTGCGCGCTGTCAAGCTTCTCTGAGAGACCGAGACGCGCTTGAGTTTGGGTGTTGAGCTGTGTGGTGAGCTGTTGTACTTCGAGCCGCAGTTTATGAATCAGATCTTCACGATCACGAGTCGTACCCTCTCGGTCGCCGACATCTTTCCTCGTACGAGATAGTTCGTCCTCTAAACGGTCGACATCACGTTTTAGCCTGTCGACTTCTAGCTGCAACGAGAACCGCGCGGTCGTATGGGTCTCCCCGAGCTCCTTGGACCGTTGTTCCATATCCCGAAGTGCGTTTTGGACGGCTTCGAGGTCGCCTTGGCGTTGTGAGAGGAGGGTCTGCGTGCGTGAGAGATCATCGAGGGTGTTGCGCAGTGCGGAGTCTTTGTCTTCGAGTGCACGGCGTTCGCGTCGGAGCTCAGACTCGTGCGTCTTCTCGACATCGTCGAACTCGCGCTCAAGACTCTCTCGAGCTTCCTGTTCGCTTTTCACTTGGGTTACTAGGTCTTCGATGTGCCCCGCTAGTTCTTCCTGACGGGCTCGGTGTGCGTGCATGTCTTGAAGAGATTGGTCGTAGAGTTCTTGGAGGTCTTGGAGTTGGGATTTCAGTCCTGAGACTTTCTGTTGCATAGTGAGCTTTTGAAATTCGAGTGAGAGACAAAAATGAACGTACATCTTTGAGCGCAGACGCGAGTGCTTCTAGTGTTTCGCGCTCGACTGCGTCATCCTCTCTCTGACGTTCGTGATCCTCGGCCATGCGATCTGCATCTTCCTCGAGTGCGTATACTTGCTTTCCGAGTTGCTCGATCTCCTCGTTCGCAGCGCGGAGCTCGGCATCTTTCTCCTCTGCTTCTTGTTCGAGATGTGCGAGTGTGGCTTCGAACTTGGCATGGAGGTCGTTGGTATTGGCTTCGAGCTCTGTGATATTGAGGCGGAGTTCTCTTGCTTCGTTTTCGCGTTCTGCGAGGACCTATGCGATAGTGAGAGACAGAAGACAAATAGGACAACGAAACAAACATCTCTGAGTTCTTCAACCTGACTCCTGGCCTCTTCGACTTCACCCCTCCACTCCTCCTCGACAACATCAACGACGCGATCATGTTCCTGGATTAAATCATCTATCTCTTTGTTCTTGAGCTCCAATTCGTCCTCCTTCTGTTGTAGCTCGATAGTGGCGGCAGCAAGTTTATCCCGGATTGAGTTGAGATCGTCCTCCACAGCCTCACGTTCCTCTCTCTCCTCAATTATTTGAGCCCGACTCTCGCTCCTTTCAATGCTTTCCGCTTCTCTCCGTCGCTGCAAATCCTCGACCTCCAGTTGTAACCGATCAGCATGGTCAGCAAGTGCCTCGTTCTCCTCCTCGCGTGCAATGAGAAGTTGATCGCGCTGCTCGAGCTCATGACGAAGTTCTTCATTCTCAGCACGCAGATCCTCGACTTTCCGTGCATAACTGGGATCTATGGAGTCGTCCCCACTGCGCTCAATGATGACCTGGGTCTTCCTCAACTCCCTGATCTCATGCTCGCGCTCTTGAAGCTGCATCTCAAGATCGCGTTCCCGCTCATGTAGCTGTGTCTCCAAGTCGCGTTCGCGCTCGTGCAGCCGCGATTCCAGATCATGGTCGCGCGTCGAGCCACGCTGGAGACGCTCCAACTCACGCTCAAGCTCCAAGACGAGTTTCTTCAGTTTCTTGATCTCAAGACCGCGTTGTTGGACCTCGATCTTGAGATTAATGTTCTGTTTGAGAGCAGCATCTATCTGGTCGGGTGCAAGCTGCGCAAGACGCTCTTCGAGGAAATGAACGCGTAGTTTGATGTTAAAGTTTTCTTTTTTGAGAGAGTCGATGTGCTGTTGTGTAGGTTAGTTTAGACAGAGTCAGTGGGCGGCGGTGTTTGGTTTACCTTTTCTTGGTCTCTTAACGATAAAGCAGCGCCTTTTCCTCCTGGTGCGCTTTGTCTTGGACGTCGTGCGCGTGGAAGGGGTGTGTCTGGGCCATCACCGTTGCTGGGAGCAGGTGATGAAATTGACGGAACACGGAGTGGTCTGCCGGGTGTACTGGGACCTGATACAAATGACCCGAGCGACAGATCCGGGTGAGTACCAGCAGAGATGTCTGCACCGTTTGGAACGGAAGACATGCACGTTGGGAGCACCAGGAGAGGGCTTGATTACTAAGCAATAACCATTTGTCCTTTATAGAAAAACCAAGCTCTCAGTGTGCTACCGATAGTATGCCGATCATAAGTCCATTGAGGGTCATCATGCATCAGGCATTGTCAGGCCCTACCATGGTGGCTTGCCTAGCCAGGCCTGGTCAGCATGATAGGGGGATTTCAGGTATCTTGTGCTCAGATAATTCAGATTTTTCCGATATATCAAGTCCTCACCACTTTCTCGGCTGAGGGTGCACCGATGTGCTTCAAACACGCATATACCATACTTGGGAAAGCGCCATATTGTGTGATAATATAACCATTTCGTACAATTCCAACTCTTGAAACTACCTCGACAAACCTTTCAAGCAACATGCCTATATTCACAGGCGAAACACCCCAGCTCCACCCCAAGCCGGAACATTGTCATGATGTTGGAAATCGTACTAATGACAGTGAACCAGTGGGTCCTTGGCGATTATGCAGAAGTACTAACACACCAGTTTATAACTACGGTCAACAGCGACGACAACGATAACAAATGAATGAAAGAACTCAAAGTATTCCAAACTCAAATAGTATTCTAGGAGGCTCCCACGACACGCGGCGCAGTAGCCGTTCTGAAAGATTTAAGACACCTGTTAACTTTACCCCAAATAAAACAAAATATGCTTTCAACTTCGTCGACACAAGGGAGCCAGGCGGAAATGATGTGAGCGATAGTTTCAGCATCTGCCATTTGATAATCGGATGACTCCAAATCCAATGATCGTAGGGAGGTAGTATGTTGTATTGGCTCAGCATCAGGATCGATGTCGATAGTTGCAATCTTGATTGAAATTTGTAGTGTATGCAATTGTGGACATAGACCGAGCGCTGTGAATAATCCACGGAGGGTGACTTCGGAAGAAAGAATAGAGTCGATGATTTCCAGAGTGCGGATGTGCGGCCAACTAGACATAGCTTGCAAGAGCATATCATTGTCCAGGTAGATGTAGAAATTATTAAACATAAGCTTCAGAGTTCGGAGCTGTGTGAAGCAAAGGAAATGCGGAATTGGTGTCACAAATTCGTCGTTTTCCACGACTACATTGTCATAAGAACATATCGAGATTTCTTCTAGAGTCTGACACGCTTTGCAGTGGGACAGAGCATGAAAGAGTTGCTCGGTCTCTTCTGAAGACAGACAGTTTGCTTCAAACCTGAATTCTTTCAGCAAGGGAAATTGCGAGTGTCGCAAGACTGTGATAATGTATCCAGCATCGTAGAGCTCTCGAAAGGAAAGGCTTGTGATGTTAAGGAATGATAAATTCACGATATCTTGTTTTGGCAGCGAAGGAGGGTCATTACAACCTTGATCAATTTCCAATTTGCGAAGGGTAGGGAGGTGGGAGAGGTGTTTCCATGCTGCCAAGTCGAGCATTGGACAAGAAAGAGTCACAGGTCGCGTGCACCAATGAATCCTATCGGATAGGGGGGACAGTTCATCCGCTGTCCTGCCACCATCATCACTTATGGGAGTGTAGATGCATAAATGCTCCAGAGCAATGCAACGTGTCACAAAAGATTGGAGACCCTTGTCGATGCTCAATAGATGACATCGGTGCAGCATGTGAGGCAGAAAAAGGTTCAAATATGTGGTGGAAAGACTTAATGACTTTAGCCTCGGAAATACGCATGCCTCGGCGGGGATGACAGATAGAAGGTGTGGATGATCAGATTGTATGTCCAATGTGCGTATACGGGAGGAGTGACGCAGAAATTGATGGACCTCACGGGCAGATAATGGCTCAACACCTTTCGCCCAGGGCTCGTCCGAGTCGTCCCACTATTATGTAGACGCTCAGTGAGCCGAAAAGAAACGAACAAAGCGTAATGAAGTCGTGCACTGACCCTTGTGCCATTATGATATATCAGTGGATGTAGCCTCGCTACACAGCCTAGCAGTGGTTCTAATCCATGGATTTCAGTCCACAGCAAATCCATCGCAGGCTCGTGGAAGATTTTGCATGTCCTTGCAAGCGCTGCAAACAATTTCTGGGTCGATGTTGTTTCAGTAGATGGTATCATATTATAAGCGAATATCTCCAGGAGGACTTCGGGAATAAGTAAAGCTTGATGCATCACTGGGGTACGGTAGAGTCAGGACTCAAAACAAGGTTTCATGTAAATCTAAAGACATTGCCTGCGTTGGGTGTTGTTACCTGCTATTTTGAGAATTCTAGTGGCGCTATATACACGTAGTACGGATACAATTTATTGGTGAAAATTTGAATTTCTCGATATAAGTCAAGTTTTGGGTGAATGAGAGCTGTACAAATCTTGTAAGCAACGGCGCAGACTGATTAACGCCAAGACCAATCGTGAAAAAACCCAGAGTTCGGATCAAGTTCTAAATTAAGCGTATATATCGCATGCGTCCGGTCGAAGTGCACACCACTGCGGCTGGAGTGGGATGGCTTTGATGCCGCGCTGTACCATCCTGTACCTGACGTCCTGTATCGTCCATCTGTCATCGAAGTACTTCCACATCAAGAAACACTACTTACATGCAAACGAGGAAGTGCCTCGGTGACGTTGAGCGCAGCACCAGTGGGCTGCTTCCCACTCCAGAAAATTTCTGCTGATGCTGCAGCGCGTGGCCACACGATCGGGTCGACATTTTGAGGACCAGACTGTTCACTCCATAGAATTTGCTCGCCTGCAGATTTCTCAGAAAGGTTGGTTTAACTTTGAGACTAGATTGTGTTTACCTCCGAGAACAAGTTCGTACTGCGCCTCGGTCAAGTTTGCCAACGGATCAAAGGTATATGCCTAACGAAACATTGTGAGATGCGTGGCTATCTTCGACATTCATACTTGCCTTGGACCAGGTCTTGAAGGGGTCGCACCAGCTATTTCTGTTCTCCCAAGGGATGTCAGTTCAGATCGAGTACATTCAACAAGACGAGGACTAACCCAGTTGGGTCGTCTCCCAGCCATTCACCAGCACCACAATCCTGGGATAATAAGGATGTTGTGTCCTGTAGAAAAACTCGTCAACTGACCAGGTAGAAGTAATTTGATGGTGCGTGGATGATCCTGAAACCCCTTCCTGCCACTGCAGCAGCATCTGCAGAAGAAATCCAAATCCTTTCAATACAGTTGAATCAGCAAAGTCAGATCATGATATCATTATACTTACATCACAATAGTCTCGTTTGAGAGTGTAATATTCCAATCGAGGACCATTTCTGAATGACCGCGGTCTCCATTTAATACTGTCATTCAAAGGAAGAAACACAGCGCATACCCTCCCACACGACGGGCGTCTTTCCCTGGGCAATCAATGCACCGTGAGTGGTCTGTGTGAACGTGTCAAGAGCACCGTTTAGCGTCATGCCGGTCCTGTTGAGCTGCTGCTCCGTTAGGTAGTCATTGGCGTAACAGTTCGTGTTAAGTTCATCGCCGCCGGTGCTGAAATAGTGCGAAGGGAGGGCCTTTGCGACGTTTGTAAGTAAGGAAGCAGTGAAGTTCATGACCTCTGGGAGTGCAAAACGAAGCTGGCCGGCAGGGGGCTCGTTGGCAAAGTCTGCCCACGGGCTAGCATCAGAGCATGCAACATATTCGGGGTAAGTGGCTGCAATGATAGCGGTGTGGCCGGGTGTATCGATTTCCTGTTAGAGTGCTCAGAGTTATTTACAAATTTAACTAATGAACACTGACCATCATAACATCGATGCCTCTCTGCGAGAATACCATCAGCAAACAAAAGATCACGATGAAAGGAAACACGTACTGCAGCAGCATACTGCACGATGTATTGGACATCGCTCGCTGTGTAAACTTCTTGAGGAGAGTATGCACCATTGATGGAGAGCTCGGGGTACTGTGCGACTTCGAGTGGAAAACTCTGACTATCCGTGATATGCCAGTGGAAAGTGTTGATCTGTATAGCTTGTGAGGGACGATAAGACGAGACACCAGGAAAGCACTCGCCTTCACCCAGCTCATCGCGTCCAACGTTCGCAGAATGTCGCAGACCGGGTAGTAATTTCTCGAGGTATCCAGTCCTAATCCCCGGAAAGGCTACGTATATGGGTTCAGCACCAGACGTCAAAGTGTAAGGGATAGCTGCTCACATATGCAGGAGTATCCTTGATAGAAATCGGGGCGAGTAAAGTATAGGTTACTCCTCCATAATAGTAGAAAAGCTGATTAAAAGTGGTGAGTCCTCTGTACAGGCCTAACGTCGAGTTCGCCGTCAAAGTAGCAGCCGAGCCGTCTGCTGGAATGATCAGTGCATACTCCTCACTACGGGTTCCCAGGGGCTTGACAGCTTCTGAAGAGATTGGCTCTGCAGCAACTCCACTCGCGAGCGACAGCGTCAACTTTGAAAGCGTCCTCGCGGTAGCCAGTGCGCTAGTGTCATTTGAGCCGCGTCCTACGACGAGACGTCCAAGTTTGTCGTTTTCGAGATAGTGCTGTGATTGCGCGACCGCGTCACGTAGATCTGACGGCGGGCCTTCAATTTGAACATCAAAGTAGAATGTGGGGGAGATTTTGAGGGTAGTCATGCCGGTCTCGAGGGTAGTTGGGATGGGCCAGAGAGCCTGAACACCAGAAGGAAGGATGCATCCTGTGACAAGTGCCAGGATGATAAGGTAGCGAGAAAAGGCCATGAATCAATGTGCGCGGGTTAAAGATGCGACCAGTTCAACTGCAGCTGTTTATAAAAGTCACAGCTGAATACTGAGCGCTAGTGGCGAGGTCTGAGGATTGTCATGTGCGCTTTCAACATGCGTACGTAACGCTAAGTGACCCAGAATTCCAGTGCAACTAGAAACTTTGCATGTGTCCAGCGTTGACAGGTCCAGCGTGGATGGCCTTCGGAAGTTTGAATCATCCATATGTTGTCCATATGCATGTCCGAGGTGGGATCCCGCGGTTCAACGGCGCGTAAACGCGTCTGTCACGATCGCGTGACTTATTATAAGACTGAATTCTCGAAATGGGAACTACTTACGTCAAACCGTAGCGTCAAGTGAACCTCTGTCCGACCAAGACTAATACATCACCAAAAGTCCAAAAACCTGACGCCACCTGATTAGGGATTCTGGTCCCGTGGTTGTCTAGCTCATGTATGGCGAGCACAGATCACCAAATATCACTTTCATATTCACAATCAGGCTGAATCATGCAATAGATGGAGAATGTTCAGGCTGACGAGTACATGATAAGTCAGTTGTCATAATGAAATTTTAATGATGCACTATGATCTACTATGCTATACCACCTGCAGCCCGACTGATGCCTGATATACCTGGAGCTAGCTAATGTAAGGCCACCAGTGACTCGGCAGATGCAGCAAGAACTTAGGCCCACTGGCAAGACATCACCCTATGTTTGATGGCCATGCAATGACGATTGTGGGATAGATACAGAAGCTAGGATAAAACCTATGAGTGCCTGACATGAGTGCGGAGAAGCAAAGTTGGTGTGAGCAAGTTCGCCAGTATAGATTGGAGCAACTCTGTGAATGCAGGTACGAAAGTTGAGGATTGATACACAGGAAAAGCAGATATGATCCTCACCAGTTTATAAGGCGCCATATCCCTCACGTGCAAGAAAATCATCATCTAGCTCCTCGTCAACCCAAACTTCATTCTCTTCATCGTCGCCTGGGTCTTCATGTGCGCTCCCATCACTGTCATGATCATCCACAGCTTCATCCTCCATGTCAGACTCTTCCGGGTCAAGCTGAACGTCTTCTTCCTCATGTGATGGCACAGCACCGTCGTTCCGCAAAAACTCATCCCACTCTCGTGTTACTTTGTGACCAACACCACCTCCTCGGAAGCGCATGAACATATCGCGGTCAACGAAACTGGGTAGACGTATTAGCAGAGTGATATCAATATATAGAGAATACATACTGATTCACGTAGAAATACTTGAAGTCTGTATTGTCATCATCCGTAGCACATCCAAACAAAGGCCCAATGTTACAAGTAACATTGGCTACATGGCCCCCCTATCATTTTCCCTTCGTCCTCGCCCTCATATGCCTCCGGCTCATACTTCTCTACCGACTATCCGTTGACCGGATCCTCGGGACCGTTCCTGTCCCTCGTCCCCCTCCTATCGCACCAACGTGCGCACGTGCCTTTGGGCTATGACTCGTCCTGACTCGTGCCACCAATGTGGCTTTCCTTATCTTGTCTTATCTTTCCTTTGACTCGTGCATGCTGCACATTGTATCATTTACCGTTGGCTCGTTCCAACGTTTCTCGGTCTCATTCCGCATTCGACCTTACATCACTAATCAGGCTCTGCTACCAGCGTACCTATACCCTTTCCGTTTCCCCTTTGCCCTTACCTACAGTACGGTAGCCTTGCCCTTAACCCTTTCCACTTAGTATAAGTAGTCGATCACTCTGTACTAGATTCCCTAACTTGAATCTACTCAATCTTCCCTCGAACATACTTCCTTCTGAAGCCCCCTCAGCTTCAGTCTCTAGTATCTTTTCTTAGGTGCTCATCGTGCCTAAGTCTACCTCGATCGACTACCTCATCGTTTGGACAAGACTGTCCTTACTTTGAGAACGTCAGTGACTTTGAAGACACCCGTCTTAGAAGTCACGTGACACGCGCGTCTCTGATATCTGCCGACTCAACGTCGCCAGTCTCAGTCGCTACACCGGACCCTTCCGGTTACGTCACGAACATTAGCGGACGACGCCCCTCTTAGGGCTCCGCATAACAGATCTATTTGAGTGCGTAACACCCAAGCCGAGTGTCAGTGTGTCCGTGTTCAAATCCAGGAATCAGATGTACACCCCGAATTACTTGGTCAGGGTCTACAAAACCGAAGCCTTCAGGGTCATCATGCTTGAAGAATCCAATGCGGTAGAGTCGTTTGGCTGACCACCCAGCTTTGTATTCAATGTCACGCCCGAACCAACGAACAAAAAGCACATTCATACGAGTTGGGGCCCATACGCTGGTGGCACCCTGAGCACGATACCAGACATCAAGATCAAAAATCTTGACGACGCGGGCATACCAATAAGGGTGTCGGTCATTGTCGTTCTCATGCGAGAGCATCAGGACATCCGCATGTGTTCGAGGATTGATTGAGTCTTGCTCTCTTCGCATATCATAAGTT